CTATTTTCTTATTTGAATGTAATGGAAAATGTTATGGAAGAGTTTCTAAATTTCAGTGTGTTTATGCCCCATTAGGTCATGCTCTGTAACTTTTGATATCACAATGTGAACCTCCTTTTGACAAAATTTGTCTTTAATAATCCCTGGACCACGCATCATTTATCTAGTATTTTTTTGTCAGTTGAGCTTGTCTCTTACCTATCCATTTTTTTAATTTCTCAGTTTGGATTAGTCTGTCTGATTTAATAACCTATTTCTCAGTCTCTCGTACCCCTAGCGCTCTAGTCTTGTGTTGAGGTTCTTAACAGTTATTCTTATGTTTTTCTGAGCCTTGCTCCAAGTTGTAATAAGTGGCTCAATCTTGGATGGAATTGTGAGCGTTGGGGATGATTGCAATATGTTGATGTGCTTACAAGGGGCTACAACGTCCCCTAAGAGAAGTGAAAGAAGTTGTGGGGAGGGGGAATTATTATTCCAGGCGAGGTTATTGACATGGTGCCATGAATGAGTACCTATACTGTCAGTTCAAAAAATAACTACAGCATTGACATTGTCTAGTCACATATACCAAATACACATCTCATGAAGATAAAAGTATGAGAGGTGAAAAATAGTGTTCAGAGCTTTGAGGTAGAAGGAACAATAAATTACCTTGCTTGCCTGCTTGAGATTGACTTTAAGATGCTATAATAGCTTTGCATCCAGTTCTGACACTAGAAATTATTTAGGATCTTTACCTTGTTCAACATATTTGCTACATATTCATTGTCTCATGAATCACACTTTTTATCTCATATCTATGGCTCAAACTTTTTGATTAGTTAATGGATCTGCTGATTTCGCTGCATAAGGCTTGACTGGTAGATAACCCTCATTGAGTTGATTTATATGCTTAAATTTTTAGCTACCACTAACATCAATGTAAAAATGGCAATACCCATTCGGTAGGGTTATTCAATACAAGTAAAATTTGTCTTTATTTTGATTATATAGTGTGTGGGAGGCGTGCTTACAAGTTCTCATCAGGTGGTTATGGGTTGGGTGTTCTGACTTTGTTTTTGTGCTTACTTCTCTGTTACTGTTTGCTGTGTTGTTCTTCTTGTTTGGCGTCTGTGTTCTGAGTATGTTATGGTTGTATTGGGTTGAGTGTGCCTTATAACATAAACAATAAATTTTATTTTGCATATACAAAAAAAGAAAAAACAAAAAGAAAAAAAAAAAAAAAAAAAAAGAACTCCATGCTAACCAGAGTCAGTTATAGGGTTCAGTACGCACTACAAATTCTAGCCCACCAAAATCACCTGTCTTAAATGATCTGCCATTCGATTTGTGTAATTGCCTTGAATATAGTGCAAATATCAGTTTCTGGATAAACCTACCTATTTAAATCTAAAATGTTCTCGTTTTATGGGCAAGTTGTTGTAATGTTTGCATTTGATAATTGGTTGATAGGTTTGTTATTTTTCCTTATCTACAAATTTGACTTGAACATGGTGATTGTGGCCCATTATTAGTACAAGCTGTATGCACCGCAGGGTAAATGAGCAAGCCCCTGTCTGTGCATCGCTGCTAGCAGATGCACATTTGTAACACACACCTAGCATTTGCATTCTGGAATTTAAGTTGTTTATTTTTCCAAAATTGCTGTCGGTATTAAAATTATCAACAAATCTAACTTTTCAATCTCTATATTGTTGATCATCTCACTCTCACACACTAAATCTGTCTTAATAACTGAGTTATCCATGATATTGCCATTGCGTCATTGATCTAATTTTCCATCTTGCCCCCTGCTATTGCGGATTCTCTACTCTTACATCATTCTGTCAATAATATCATGTTTATCAGAGATGTAACCTACTAACTTCTGCTGCATTTGTTGTACGGTAAGCACATTAGAAATGAGGTTAGATTGGGGCAGTCAGTGCCACTATATCTCTGTTGCACAATGCAGGAATTCTTTAAAGGATTGAAACCTCTTAAGGTTCTAGGTTAAAATCTAGAATGTTGGACCAAATGTTTATTTTGCTAAATTATTTGCCTGGTCAGAATGTAACTTCAGTAGAGTTGTTCAAAATTGCTAAGCTAAGGATTTTTTTGTAGGCCTGTACATTATGAAATGTAATTGACCCATGACAGGGTTGGATTTCTGTTATCTTTTGTAGATAAATTATGCATAAAAGATAATTATTGTACGGTCCTCGTCCCCGTGCTGTGTTAAAAATTTCACATAAAAAATTTGGGTGGGTCAAACCTTTCGAAAATTTTCGTCTGTATGAGGAAACAAAAAGGAGGCAGAATATTGCACCGATAAGAGTCAAAAGACTCAAGGGCATGTTTGGTGGGGGGCATGTTTGGTGGGGTGTAGAAGCTTGTAGATTTTTTTTCTCATAAATTTAAAGTTTTGCAAGGGAGAAAGAAAATTTAAATATGGCTTTTGAAGTTGCTTATAAGCAGTTTTGAGAAATCTAAAATTTGTCATGTAAAGTTCCTAAAACTTTACTTATAAGTTGCTTTAGAAGTTAAAATCAAAATCTTCTTTTCGAAGTTTCAAAATTTTCAACTAAACATGCCCTTAATCAGCACATGTGAGAATAGAGAAGAGTGAATCTGTATGGAAGATTTGCAAGTTTGACTAGGGTGCTCCATGTGAGCTTTATTTTTGAGCTCAAGCACAAGCTTGAGCCTAGTTCAATTAAACATTTTAAGTATTCAAGTTTGAAAAGATAAAATTAGCTAGCCTTAATTTGAGCTTGATGGTAGCATCGAACTGGACCCTATTAGGTACAGAGAAACTTTAGTACAGAGAAAGAAAAACTTAAACAATATAACCGTAGCTACAAACTTTTCCTCTGCCTTGAATTCAGCTTTGCCGGCTTAACATCAAAGAACAACAGCCATGGCCCTTTATTCCCCTCTTTGAAAACTGTTCTCGAGTTCCCTGTTTCTGATCAGATGGGTCAAAACAACCTACTCATCTTTGTCTTCGTCCTCGTCATAGTTGAAAGGCAGCGGTACAGACTTGAACGCACGGTATTTGCCTACATTGTTCAAGTGCTCATTTTCCAGCCTGAAGAAATTCCATATACCACGACGAATGATCTCCAGACAAGCAACCAGGGTGATCATGGTTTGTGTGTGTAAAGAGAACAAGGTGAAACCCAACACAGTTTGCAGCCACGCAAATCTCAGCAACACGTTCAGGACCTGTGTTTTTCAATCCAGTCCATTAGTTTAGATATTTAAAATTCTTGACACAAGTACATAGAGATTAAGTTAATTCCTCACCATTGCTATGAAATAAATCTTCTTCTGAGGGAGGAGGAGTTTGTCCCTCAGCCACTTGTTCTTAGAATGGCGCTGTAGAAGTCCCCAGTCGTAGATAAGGTCCCAATATGTGCCAACAACAGCTGCAATCACTGAGAAAATCCAGGCCAACACTTTCCATGTCACACCTTTGTTAAGAGTGTAACCTACTGTTCTAAAACAAACAGCAAGTATTATCACGAAGTATTTCAGTCCGTTATATCCTTGCAAAGGATCTTTCTCTTCATAAAGTCGACGCAGACACTGAATATGCAGATTATAGCAATTAGTTGATAGTTGACATCATTTCAAATTTCAACGGTGAAATTAGGACAGGTTTGAGTCAAGTTAATTACCTGAAGGAAGCGAGACCAGTATGGAATGAGAGCAACGATGACTTTGAAAGCTTTGAATACATCACTAGATGTGCATGTGTTTTGTCTGTGTTTGAAGTCTCCCCAGCCATAATAGCAAATGTAGAACTCAAGGCTTCTAAATGCTTGAACCTGGCTGGTGAACTGATCTGCTAGGAAGAAATCTGGCAGTCTCACCTGCAGTAGAAACAGAATTACGCATGCAGTTCTGTCATATATATGGTATTGTCATGCATTGGTTTTTGTATAAAGCAATAGTACTGTATGTTTTTTAATTATACCTTGTAGAGAGGAGCGCAGATGCAGTGGAACAAACATGTTAGGAAGAAGAATCGACTTGATCGATGTAGTATGTTGAATGGCAAGAACAGAATAACGAGTACTGTCTGCAAATCAAAGAAGCAATTAAGGAAAATTGAAAACCAGTGGTTTTGATCATGTTTTTGGAAGGGAATGTATTAGATATTCTTACAATGACAAGGAAGAGAGGGAGAAGCTCAGTGAAGGCTTCGTAAGACTTTGTACTAGGATCCATCTCCATGTCAAGACTGGATAGTACACTGACTAGAGCTAATGTTCCAAGTGCAAAACTTAGGAGGAGAACTGCTCTGTAGCCTAGTTCTGTTCCCTGTTTGAAACCAAAAATGAAGGCATAATTCACCCGACAGCGCCTCCAGTAATATACGTTGGCAGCATACATCAGCATGTGCAGAACCACAAACCCGAACAAGCTGAAATTAGATTTGGCATAAACTTATCAAATATATGAGGGATTGAAGAGACATTTATTTAGGCCAAACTAAAATCTCTTGGTTAATTACCTGTATAGAGGAAACATGGTTTCCATGTACCGTTTCTGCCCTGGCTGACCCATTATATTGCGTGCACGGATGATATAAATCAGGGCTGCTAGCAAAGCAAATGTGCAGCCAGCAAAGAAACCTAACATTTTCCCACAGGAATTAAGAAACCTGAGTAAAGAAGTTGTCTACAAAGAAAAAAAAAAATCAGTTTTGTTCATGAAGTATAATGTTTAATTACCTGTAGAGAATGTTATTCTATGTCTTTCTCTCGTTGCTTTTGGTCTTAAAATGTTCATGCCTTTGGTACGATTGGCATTAAAGAAATGCTTAATGAAAGTAGCTTCAACTCTCTCCATAAGCTTGGTAACCTGAAGGGAGCAGCAGAGACATGGCTGATTATTATAAGCTAAGGCCTTAAAACACATAACATTTACATAAGAACAGCAACCAGGGCATGTACTCACCTCATCCGAGCTGCCAAGATAGGAGTTATCTACCATTTTCATGTAAGATTTTGCTGCATTTCTTGAAGTAATCTGCAGGAAGAACAGAATTAAATATTAGGCATGGAAATTCAATTCATTGGCATATTTGTAAACTACAAAGCTGATGATTAATTGTAGGGGATCTGGATCATGTACATACCTTGTCATATTTCTTCATGATTTTTGAAAAAGCCAAAGTGTTTAAGAAGCTGCAATATCAATCATAACATAGACATGGATCAATTACTGTTCAAAAGGACAGATGATCCAAGTGACAATTTAAGTATCAATCATTTTATTACCTGTAACTCTTCAAAAGTCGAAGCTTCTGATAGAATTCAATGAAAGCACGCTTGAGTTGCTCTTCAACTTTCCTTAGATTCTGCCTAGTGAACTTAAGCTCAGTGTGGTTAGGGACATTTAAGACGCCTTTAATGGTTGATCGAGGAGTCTCAAGAGAGTTATTCATCTTAACATGGTTTAGTATTTGCAATGGAGCTGGTTTTTTGCGCTTAAGTAGTTTTCCTTGTTTTGGAGCTTCAACATTTTCCTCTAAAGAGTTCTCGTTGTCCTTTTCGTCTTTATCTTCATCTGGATGCTCATGGCTGGTCGATCCCTCTTCAATCACCTCCATATGATTAACTCTTTCTGCATATAATAAACAAAAACCCAGGCATAACCAAGAAACATAAGTTATGGGGCAAGAAATGAAGTTTGTCAATTTTTAGCTGAAGAATACTTACTGTTTGCTTTTGCCCCAGATGGAGTAGAAGCTGCCAGAGCAGCAGCAGAGGCTGCAACATCGGAAGCAAGCCGAGTCAAGTCGTCGGACCTTTCTTCCCAAGACCACCCTTGTGGATTCTCCACCTTTATTCTAAAAGCAATCAGAGCTTCCATTTGCTTATTTAACATTTCCGCTTCCTTCACCACCTCCTGGACCTTAGCCTTGTAAAACTTGTCCACCTTATTGAACTCTTCGTCCAGCCTCCTAAAGTACACCAGCTCGTACTCTCCTCCTTCGTCATCCGCCATCAGGAAAGTCGTCTGGTATTTTTCCGACCCTTCTCCGTTTACCGGATTCACCAAGATGGCTTGGCTTTCGATGTCATTAGAAGAGGGACTTGGATGATTTTGCTGCCTCTGTGTTAGGCCACTGAAAGCTCTGTACAGTGTCATCTTTCTCTTCAGGCCACGCGGAGTCGCCGGCGGCCTGCTTCTTAGCTTGAAACGTTGGACTTCTTTCAAAAGGGTCTTCAGAAAATCGTAGTCCATGTACGCCTCTTGCCATTCCGGCACCATTTGGGATGCAAATTCTTTCCCAAACTTCATTTTGGTATATTTGTTAGATTTTTCGGTGGTAAGAAGAAATGGTTTTGAGAGAGGACTTGGAGGAGAAGGAGAGAGACACCTTGGAGTTACCTCGTTTGGTGAGATCTAACCCATTTTTTTCATTCATCTTCTGCCATTATATAGCAGAACTTTCTTAATACATCAACATTAATTTTCTTAATTAATCTTTACCTAATACAAGAAAATCTACCAACCATTTAATACAAGATTACATTGAAAGATTTGTTGCTATTTGTGCCGCTCCATGTGCTGTGCTTTGCTGCTACTTTGCAACCTTTCATTTGCATTTGCATTTCGTTCCATTTGCATTTCATTTTGGCCTCATTTCGTCAACATTTGCAGCTTCGCTTGCTGCACTTTGCTGCTTCGCTTGCTGCACTTTGCTGCTGCTCTTGGTGCAGCTTTTCGTGCTTTTCATTTGTTGCTCTTGGTGCAGCTTTGACTTCTTTTCATTTTGCCGCCATTTTATGCAGCTTTCAGACCACAACTCCAACAGTCCTCCTTGGTGTTAAAATTGCGGGAAACAAGAAATTTACCTAAGCATTTAGACTCTGCGATTTGCAATTCTTTATGCTTTGGTTTTGATTTGTTGTTGTTGCTAAACCCATCTCCTTTAGCAGATAAGCTCCTCCTTTAATACTGTAGCTTCATCTTGCTTAAATTTTCTGCTTTTAACAAATTTTTGGAGCTTTATTGAGCTTCCCGTAAGTTGCTCAATTTTCTTCTTTTAATCTACAGCTTCCATAGGGTCAGATCAGATTTAACTTTATGGTGAACTTGACTTGATGCATGCTCTGAGTTTTCTTTCTTTCTCAGTCTGCACTGTTGATAGACATTCTTTTTCCCTTTGGACTGTT